GCTGATTCGCTGTAAAATGAAAGGCAAATGTCGTGTTTTTGTTGACTCCTGTCGGTATCTTTCAATTTATAATTGACTGATGAACAGCATCTTTTCCTCCCTTACATACACTTATATGAAAAGCAATAAAAATCTGCTAAGCATATTCGTATTAGAATAGGTGATACGCGTCTTTTCTAATCCACTACTATGTCATTTTGCCAAATAAGGTCATGAGAACGCGCAAAATATGCCACGGTCTTATGCTGTAGAGGAAGGAAAAATTACGGAGCAATGAAATGGCCGCACTAAACGACCTAATGTATTGCTTGTATTTTTTCTCGCCCCTTCGGGGCTCCGGGAATACTTCGCAACTCGCAAAAATGAATATCAGCACGTATTACATGTTTAACGATCGAGTAACGTGTATTTATTTAAATATTTTATCTCAGAAGCTATGAGCATGAAACTTCTCCCTATAATATCCCCACACTATCTGGCAAACAGGTAATGAGAACATCAAAATTCTCAGAAAGAATTTTTTATCTTGACGAAGCAACAAATTGTTGCAATTAATTTACAGGAAATGCGTAGCAGTTAGAGGGGAAATTTTTTAAAAAATGGTGCAAAAGGAGAGCATTTAGGGACTTGAAATTTGTTAATAAATTGCGTCAATAGCAGCGAATAGTGGCAAAAACGGGCTACAATTTTGCTCATTCAACCTTAAATTTTTTAATCGAAACTATAGGAAAATTTTGCAAAAATTGCTGTCTATCGTTAACAAATTGTGAAAGCAGACTGCAAGAAGCTAAATTTTTGCCGTTTGGTTTAGTCATCGCTGCTAGCCTTTCCAATTAGTTGCCTTCTCGTTTCTTTTTCCTCATATTTGATCAAAAAACATTGAGTTAAAATCACGCAACAGAGTCATCAACAGACACACGGGTTATTTACATAAATCAATGCCCTTTTGCAGCCTTTCCTTTACGCTTGATTACTTTTGCATTTGAAATTGTCTTTCCGACTTTCAATTTCATCAGGGCCTTTCCGCACTAGCGACAAAATTGTTTATTTAGACATATTTTCTGTCATCACCAACATTTTACAAGTGCGGATGGTTTGTCGCGACTCTTCTAATTCTGGCCGTAGCCGTCAAAACCTGAGACGCACCGCCGACAAAGTTTTTCCTACGTGATAATTTGCCAAAATCGACTAATTATACAAAACCGTTATAAACATGTCAATCATTTGTCGTTGAAGCTAAGACAAGCGTGTAATTGAACCGTTATCAGTTTACTAGAAAGGCAGTAATTGTCTTCTGCTGCGACGCTCGGGTATTCTAAAATTTTACAGTGACTTAGGATAAATCCCGAAAATTAAAGGTGAAATCCTTCGGCAACTATGTTGGCCGATCCTATGAACAGATCAGGCGCTGACGGAATGTGAAAATTTTAAAATTTTTAATGCAGATGCAACCAACGAAACAAAAATTCATCATGACAAAATTTGACCTTTGTTTTGTCGGAATAATTCTTGTTTTGTCCGCTAATACGGAAATGCTCTTCAAATAAACGTCAAATTTGATCACCCCCAACAGTTTCTAGTTTAATTGGCAGAATTAGCCTTACGCTATACATTGATCAAGGCTTTCAGGGTAATTTTAAATAAACATTCACACATCATGAAGTAAATACAACAAATGAACTGCTGTAACAATAGTGTACCTCACTGTGGTGTCTACGTCATTTTTCTTTAGGACTGAAGATACCTTAAGTGTCCTATTGTCATGCCCAACAATAAAAACGACTTTCGATTGTTGATCAAACCCATATCTACACCAGGTAAGCTTGAAAAGGAGGAAACTGGTGTAAACATAATTTTAACGAAAATTTTTTACCAGATCAAAAGGATAGACATAAATTATTCAATCCCTCTCTAGGCATGACGTGTACTGAATTAAAATTCCTTGCAGTCATTCAATCGTGAACAACAAGTTCGCTTTACACCAAATATAAAATATATAACATTTAACCTGTTAAGAATCGTCTTTGTTGATGCCATGTTGTGCTTACGATCCGAAGATTCAACATATTTCACAAACAATACAAACCATTGGTTTGTTGTATTCATGGATGCAATTAAGTCAAAAGCTCCAGTTAAGACGACTCCCTGTTGTGGGACGCACTAACTGATCGATTTCGCTTAACTCAGTGTTTAAGAGCAAGTTATGGTCTTTCAAATTATGAACAGCAAATTGATTAAAACAGAACTGCAAACAGAACCTATCTCACAAGTCTTCACATCAAACAGACTCACTTAATTTCGGGTCTTACATAAGCTAATACAGCTCCCGGAAGTTCTTGTCATAAATCAAGGAAAAACTATCTAGGCACGCGGTTCTGAAACGTGAATACCGATCAAAATGATGTACAAATTCAATACTTACGATATTTTGATTGAAAAGCGCCTTTAATATGCTGTAAGACCTAAAATGTAGGAATCATGGATATCACTGCAATACGGATGGATCAACATCACTGATTACATCGCAGGATGAATTAAACTACATTGTATTCGCATAGTTTAGACAACTAACCTTGATGTGTAAGTGGCGCA